CCTGGCCGGTCAGGGATCCAATTCCTGCTGCAGAGGCTGTGATAGCTTCATAGTGCTGTGCTTAACCCCTTGCGCCACCAGGGAAGCCCAGCATTACAGTTTTAAAATAATTCTTCTTTGTCAAATTGTCCACTATGAAAATGTTTAACATTTTTCATGGTCATTCTGACTATATATTCTATATATTCTAAGGCTAAATGGAATCACTGTGTGGATATACCCCACACTCTTACTCCAGTTCTCTATCAGTGAGCATTTATGTTGTTTCCATAGCCTATCTATTGTAAATAATGCTGCAATAAACATTGTAGAACATACAATTTTTTTAATTTGATGGTTTCATGTTCCTTGGATAGTACTCAAGTGTTTTCATTGTTTGGTCATAACCTTATTTATATATACTGAATATATACCTATATATGTGTGTATATGTATGTACATATTGCCTTGCTTGACTAAATGAATAAAATGAATCAATAAACCTATATCCCCCATCAGGGTAATATATATAATGGGTTATTTTCCTAGAAATAAGCATATTTTGTTCTCCATCCTACCCCACCCCTTAACCTTCATTAGTCTTTTACTATATAATAGCATGTATTTATGAAGCTGTAACAGGAAAATTCTGTTCTCCTCTATTGCTATTACACTAAGTAAAGAAAATTGTCTCACACATTACTTAAACCCATATATAGTAGCTACTAAATGCACTGGATTTTTTTTTTGGGTGGGGTAAAGGAAAAAATGAAACAGTCCTCAATTTTTGACCCTGGTTGTCAGTATTTTCTTTCCAAATATGGTCTAACGGTAGTTCATGGCTAAGCCCTGAAGAATTAAAAAAAAAAGTGTATAAACATTAAAAATAAAAGCACTTAGAGTTTCATTATATTGGATATAGAAGAGACTCCTCAAAAACCTCATAGTCCTGCCTCTCAATTCTTGAAGAAATAAAAGATCTAAAGACAGGGAAGGGGCTTACTCAATGGAAGCCAGTAAGTTTTTGTCTTTCTCTCAATCCCTCCTTCCATTGCTGTCTCTCTCTTACAGCATTATCCATTAGAACTTCTTGTGATGCTGAGAATGTTCTATATGTGGGCTAGCCAAGATGGTAGCCACCTCTCATATGTGGCTATAAAGCACTTGAACTGAGAAAATGCATGTTTAATTTTACTTAATGTTTACTAAGTTAAATTTAAATAGTCACATATGGTTAGTGGATAGTGTGTTGGACAGCAGAGTTCTAGAATATACCAGTTATGTCAGAAACACAAAACCTGTGATTTCTTTAGTAAGCTAGAAAAAAGATTTTATATTACCTGATAGAAATCTTCCAGATCAAGGATAACATAGAAGGAGGTAAAATATGCTAGGCTATAAATAATGGAAAAAAGAAACAAAAATTCAAATTCAAATTCAAATAATAAAGCAGTTTATAATCTCTTGTAGGTTGACAGTCCACAGGTGGGGCTAACCTTCAGGCAGATTTGATTTAGCAACTCACCTCATCAAGTAGCTAACCCATCCCCAGCTCTCTACCTTTCAAAATGTCTGTTCCTTCTAATGCAAGTTCCTTATCGTGGATAAAAGATGGCTGCCAACATCTGCCTGGACTGTGTGCTTCCTCATCCATTAAACAACTACAGAAAGGATTGTTTTGAAAAGCGTTCTCTGATGAACAAAGATTCTCTCCCCTAGCAAACCACTTCTTTTGTCTTCTTAGCATGACTTGGTCCCTTTCCCTTTCTTGAGCCAGTTACCTTGCACAGAGGAAAATATCACATTGTTAGTGTTACAACCATACCAGATGCCCACCTAAATCAAGAGAAATCAACTCTCCCCCAAAAAGATGCATGAAAATTAAAGGAAAATTAGGAGAATCCATAATGAAAATTAGGGAACAAATATTGAAGACATAATCACAATGTTGATATAGCTAATACGGATTTTGTTAATAGTTTTAGGACTGAAGCACTTTAATATGTTCATAATTTTTCTACTTATAAAGGGAAACATTCATATTTTTAAATGTGCAGAAGTCAAGGATTAAAAAGAAAATTTTAAACAGCATCTGCACTCTATCACACAAGTTACCAGTATTCACATTGAAACACACATATTCTTAACACATTTCTAAAAAAGGTCTATTTAGTTTCTCTGTGTTTTAAAAATGTGTACTTTGATATATATTGTTTTATGATTGGCTTTTTCTCTGAAAATGTCACATATTCCAATGTCAGTAAACTATTCTTCTAACGGTGACCTTAACCTACTATATCACCAATCTATAGTACTTTCGTGTCTCTAAAACGGTCACATCCATTCATTTCTTGTAAACTCTGGTTGATCTTACATTTGTAGCAGTGAGTTTCCTACTGCTTAAGACAGAGAATATGCCTGGCACACAGTAGGTCCTCAATTAGTATTTGATGAATAAGTGAATGTGAGTGAATGAACAGAGCCATTTCTCATTTATTCATATTTTAGGTGTTTTATGAATTTGTAGCAAGATTCTAAGCAAGCGGTTGGCAGTGGGCTGAGCAGGGAGGAGGCCGGGAAGAATTTCAGATGATGAGTCTGTATGTGTATGGGTGTTTGTGTGGGACTATGAGTCTGAGAACGCCTAAATGTACATCTCTAAGCACATCCTGGTGCCAGAGGGAAAGGCTTTTTGCACTGCTTCTTATTTTCTCTCCTCCCTTTTGTCTCTTTCTCTTAACACACCATATTGACAGTAGGCCTTCCCCACTCTTGGTTGCCACCCTCACATTCAGATTTTTTTCATACTGTAATGGGGAGCATGTGGTTTCTCTCGGAGTCCCAGTTTAGAAAAGAGAATCCAGCAGTTACTAGTATAGAGCAGAAGAGAAGAGAATTATAAAAAGGAGTTCAAGGGAAACCTTGGACATGACTGAAGTGATAGGAGAACACACTTAAGCATGCCAATACTGAGATTTCACAAACCAGAGCTTCTTAAACTTGCCAGTGAATTACAATAAATGGGAGTTTTTAAAACTCTAAATGTCCAGCTACCCACTCTAGATCAATCAAATCAGAATATCTGGAGGTGGGACTCGGGAAACAGATTTTTCAAAGCTCCCTAGGTGGTTCCAATTTGCAGCCAAGTTTGAAAACCACTGCACTAAAGCAAAAAGTTACTGCAGAATAGGCCTTTGGTCACTATGGCAACCTCAGAAATACCTGCAATTTTTTGTTAATTAGTTGCCAAATAAGAGGCACATATGTTCTCTGTGTTGAACATATTTAAGCTTAGCTTAAACATATGAATCCTTATTAAATGCTTAATGTGCTGATATGATAATAGCTTCTGTGTAAAACCTTTAATTCATCAATTTGGGGTACATTCATTCCCTAGCCCTTATTTAACGACATGGATTATGTGAACCATTGCTACCCCCAAACAATGTTTAGTATGCTTCATGAATACCTCTATTATATGCCTCTCCCCTTCTTGATTTTTTCTGATAAAAGAAAAAAGTCAAAAATAAATTTAATATCATATAACCATAGAGCCCCCCAACCCCCTTTGCTAAACTAGCTGATGATTCTAGGAGTCAAACCAATCCTAAAGTCCACTCAACAACAGGCTGCCCCTGTTGTAGTTTAAAGCAGTTTGAGTAGAGCTTTCTGTTACTTCTAACTAAAAGCACCCTGATTAGTGGGGCACAAAAGAGACTACTTACAGTGGAAATATAAAGCTAAAAATATCCCAGATTATTTAATCTGAACTCTCATTTTTATAAACAAGATTAAGACCCGAAGAACTGAAGTGACATGTGTAAGGTAGCACATTCTACCCGATCTTATATTACCTAAATTTGGGTCTTGATCTCAGGTGTCCTCACTGCCAACCCATTGCTCATTCTACTAAATTATAAAGTCATTTTCATTGTGAACACTCACTTTAATTTTCCAGTGTTGCCAAATTAGCTGTGATGAACTTAATTTTTTAAATGTCATTAAATTTCCTTTGAAGGAACTCTCTTAGAAATAGATCTTTCCTACCCTCTCTCAAAAGACATACTCAAAGCTTATAGTTAACATTTGATTTTGAAATGTAGACGTCATGAGAGCCTATGTAAAGCTGTTGAAAATATATATCACACAACCTACCCCCAAGCAAAAAAAAAAAAAATTAAAGTTCTATCCAGCTAAGCTGCTTCAGTAAATGATGTTGCTGAATATATAAAATACTTGAATCTAAATTTAAAAACACTCCCCCCTCCCCTTGATTAACCAGATTGTCCCCTCCCCTATATATAGGAACGCTATGTGCCTGAGCCCACTTGCCATCTGTCACCACATTTCCCAAACTTCTCTTCCACCCCCTCCTCTTACACAATCTTATCACATAAAAAATATTAGATTTCAGGGATTTGTATAATTTTATTAAATTTTCTGAGCCAAGGAAAAATAGAGAAAGTACTGTTTTATCAAACAGACTCAGCTTTTGAATGCCTTGCTGAGCATTCCATGGTAGCCAGTAATGCCCTTTAAGCAGAACTTATATGGCCAGGAATAACAAGAATAAATTTTTTCCCTTATTATGGCATTTCATATTAGGAATTTGCAGGTGTTCTCCATATTTCAGAAAAGACTTTGGATAGTTTCCAGAGAGTCTTGACTCATATACCATCATATTGCTTTGTTTATTTTTGTGAAGTTTTGTGAGTTTCCTTATATCATTAGAAAATAATTATAAGGCATTTTTGGATTTTCCACATTGCTGTGCCATCTCAAAATTTGGAAAATGATTTTTATTCATGGAAATGCAGAGAACCTCTACTCACCCAAGTGCTTAGGACAGGAACTTAAGAGTCTTCCTTGATGGCTCTATATCCCACCTCTCACATCCAATCCATTAAATTTCCCAGGTAATATCTTTGTTTCCAAACTCTATAGGAGATTGTTTGGGAATGACCAGGAAAGACTGAAACAAAGTCAAACTTCCCTCTTACTTCCTCTCTCTTTCCTCCCAGTGAGCTGGACTGTTGAAATCACATATGATCCACTCAATGCAACCCGACAAAGACTGTTGACACAATCTTGTGGATATCAGAAAGCTAAAGAAAGTCAAAAAATGGCATACTTCTCATCTTGCCTGGAAACATTACTGAGGTACTGATTTCAAAAGATCGATTTTTGTGCTAGAGGCACTTGTAGAAAACGAATAAGGACTGCGTTTAGTATGCTTATTTATTGTCGTTACCAACAGAGCTGATCTCTGGAAGTATTCTGGAAAATTCATAATGTCCAGACCAATGTATTTATAGTAAATTAAAGCAATGCTTTATTATGAATATTTCCTTGGTTACAATGTTGAATAGATACCATACCTAATTTGAGAAGCCTGATGAGGACATATTAAACACCTTGTCTTTTTCAAAGATCTCACAATTTACTAAGGTTCCAGAAATGTAAATATATATATATTTTTAGAATGCATTTGTACATATAGTATGTGTTATATTCCAATATGATAATGGAAAAATGTGTATGGGAGAAAAATACAGAATAGAAAGAACTCATACATTTAGCAAAAGAACAATGGCAACAATGATAATGCTATTAATGATGGCAGCTACCATTGACTGATTGCATATTATGTTGCTGCTTTATGTATACTGTCATTCATCCTCTAAATAACCTTGCAAAGTAGACATACCCCAGTATTTCATACTACATAGTATATCCATAATGAATCAGTAAAAGACTTTGCTTTTTATAGACATTCAAGATCCCAGATTGAGAGAGGTTCCTTCTCAATGCATACCCCATATTTGCCTCACTGAGGCTAGGGATAATCTTCTATCCAGAATTGCAACATATCACTTCCACTCAGATTTCATTAGCCAATACGAAACATATAATCATGTCTAAATTAAAGAATATTGTTGGAATTCAATAGTATCATGTGCTCAAAATATATATATACAAAATGCAGGAATGTTTACACAAATAGGTATTGTTAGTTTTCACCATCTCAATGAAGAAGTTAGGAGACTTCCTTTGGCCATAAATAATCATGTATTACTTAACAATGGGGGTATATTCTGAGAAAAGTGTCATTAGTGGATTTTGTCATTGAGCAAATGTCAGAGTATAATTACGCTAACCTAGATGATTTAGGCCACTACAAACCTGGGTAGCAATATAGCCTTACTGGGACCATTGTCATATACGTGGCCTGTGGTCAGCATTGTTACATGGCACAAGACAGTATGATTTTAAATTCTAAGCTCTTTTAAACTGTACTGTGTCAATATCCTTTCTTATCAGCATTGTACTGGAAAATAGTAGAGCTTACTAATGCAAGAGCAGTAGGCTTATGTGATAAAGGACCAGAAAGATATGTAAAATGTTTAGGCTTGATATGTTGAAAAGAGAAAGAATTTGGATGGCAATTTAACTAGAGAATTGGGCCTGAAGTGAGATGATTAGGGTGAGGGCAGGCAAGTATAGAATCAGGAGATGCAATTAAAAAAGAAGAGATTCAGAGAGAGAGGACAGCAAGAGAGACAGAGGAATAGTTGGAAAGAAGGTTGTAGACTAACACTATTACTGTTCTTGAGTATCTTAAGTATAATTCTTTCTTAAAAGGTTCAGGTTCAAATATTTATGAGACGGAGTTACTATTCCTTTTAGAGGCTTGTCAAGTGTAAAAGAGGAGGAAAAATCTGTTTGCGAAGGGAGTTTACAGTATACTTAAAGTTTATTTTAAAAATAAATAGGACTTGATAGATAGGGCAATAAAAACAGGCCCCACCAATAACCTGCCAGGAGCACTAACAGGAAGCATCCGCAGGCGGCCAAAAGCCAGAAATAAGAATGAACAGTTCTTACTGTCAGAGAGTGACAGGAACATCCACAAACAAAGAGGATATTTGGGGTGTAGTCTCTAAGTCAAGTTATTCTCTGTCACAGTTTATGTAGAATACACCCACACAGGTAAAGTCACATCTGAATCAGAGGTTGCTGGCTCACTTTGCGATGAATTTCAGGGTTTGTTTCAGTCTGAGTTGTTGCATTGCATACAAAAATAGGTATAGAAGACCTTCAAGGACATTTAATACCACATGTATTAAACTGTACACAACCTTAAACAATAGGGAGTAAGGGTGACCAGAAAAGAGTCTATGTGTTCCCCTAAAATATTTATTATTTTGGTATTTATTAAATATTACTCTCTACTATTTATTAAGGCATGACTATGCATGACTACTCTGTGCTCAGAATGCAGACATGAAGAAGAGAACTAATCTTTACTTTCATGTAATCTCATATTGTAGTGAGGGAAGAAAATGAGAAATAAAGTCAGCAAGGTAACTAAAGGGAGGTATGTGATACAAAGATATGAGCAGAGTAGAAATAATGATGGAATAGAAAACCTGGAGAACAAAGAGCAGGAATAACTTTACACAATGGTCAGGTAGCACTTTAGGGAATTATGAGTCAGGACCCAGAAGGTAATCCATAAGCCATGCTATGACAAAGTGTGATACATACTTGGGTCTGTTTCAATTAAGACTTTCTTTCTGGAGACAAAAATATATTAGAGGTGGGTTATAAAAGCTCACTGGATGAAGACTCAAGAGATCCAAGTCTGTGTTCTGCTGCTTAATAGCTGTGCTCCTGTAAGCTAGCCATGTGAACTTTATGAGTCTGGATTTCTTCATCTATGAAACGTGTGGGTTGGGCTAGAATATCTCTGAGGTCTCTTTTGCCACTAAAAGTTTACAGTACAATTAAAGCATATTTTTTTTTAAATACTACTACTACCATTTCCACTCCTGTTCCTACTGCATGTGCATGCACATGAGCCTATGTGTGTGCACACACACATACACAAGTGCACACACACAGATCATGTGCATTAAGTCTTTCTACTTGCTGTCAGGAGTAGACTCTGGGTAGAATAAGAAATGCTTATTCACTATGATTTCATCATCAATGAAAACCATCGTGTTCACCCTTAGGCCCTTCTAAAAACTCCACTTGTGCTAAAATACATTAGCTATTCCAAAGATGCCTGGGGAAAAATATGATTGTATTAGAGGAACCATCCCTTCCCCCAAGCTACCCGTCACTGGCCACACTCTGAGATTCTGAGTATGTGTAAATCCTCCTTCACAGCATCTCCCTGAAGTACCCTAACCCAACTGCATCTGATTAGACCATAAATGAATATTTGCCTCAAAGAAGTTTCAAACTTAGGCTGGCCAGTGACCTAGAAACTAAAGGGAAAAGATCCCTTAGGCCAACAGATCTACTTCCAAGAAATGTGGATTTGGGTTTCTGAAAACAATAACTAGACCGGTGGCAGCACCACATATTAAGGACACATAGAAGGCTGCCAGAGTATAATGATGACAAAGCATTTGAATGGAGCTTTTGGACTCTTCGACTGTGAGGTTCCAGGAGCTGATTAACTCCAAATGTACTTTCCAATTTCATCTGTATGAGTTCCTGCTATAACAGTATTTCCTGTCTCTGATTTCTATGAAATGTCTTTGTGTCCTATCAACGATCCCCATTTCTACATAAACAGGCTTCACTGGATTTCTTTTCTCCAAACTGTATTCATTAAATAAGCTAAACTACATGGAACTGTCAAATGGTGACCAAATTTAGAAACAGGAGTAATAGATAAAATTGTGGGAAAGTTCTGCTTTTAGGAAATAGAGATGAGATGGCTAGGCCCCTGGATATGAGAAAGGCACCTACAGCAGAAAATGGATTCCAGGAAAAATGCAGCTTGGGAGATGCTCTGAAATTAGTCTGGGAGGACCTAGAAAAGACTGCGATTGGAAAATCTGACCTACAGTTTTTGTTAGTGAGAAGCGTTCAACTCTGGAGGAAATAAACAGCTCCCATAGCTCTCAAACATGGTTTTCTTCCCTTCCTGCCATCTTTCACTCAGCACAATACAAAATATACCTTTGAAAAAAATCATTTAGTAAAGGCGAGGAATTCATCCTTCAGGAACCACAAATGAAGACATTTTCTCCTAGTCATTCTTTAATGAACACTTCCCCCACTTCAGTATAAATCTTTCAAAGTTTTTCTTAATTCTGTGGCTTATGTTTCACAACCTCAGGACCACAGGGAGGCAAATCCAGCTCATCATTTTTAAGAAGAGAGTGGTATGGAGTGATCGTCCAATAGTCACTTCCAACTGCCATCTGTGACAAGTCTGTAAAACATTTCGTTTGCATAATATATGGGAACTCTATTAAAATACAGCATGCTGTTACAGAAGTGGGAATATTCTAAGTCAAATTATGTCTCCTCATAAAAGCATCCCCTAGTCCTGGCAACAAAGCAGAGTTCTTTTTGTATTGCTTTTAAATTAAAAAAATCCAAGGCTCAAGCAATTACCAAATAGAGGAAAAGCCTACTTTAATCCAGTGCTGAAGACAAGTTGTGAAATTATAACAAGAGTAAGGCCGAACAAAGGTCAGTGATCAGAAAGATGCCTCTTTGGATTGAACATCTCTGCTCTAGGGTAAGCAAGGACAGAACAGCAATCAGTTTATTATAAAAGCAGACACGGTGTGCCATCCATTATGTAGACCTATATATCTGACCTAAAAAGGCCATCACTGGCATTTCCAGAATAGAAAAATGTATATCAAATACTTTACCTGTAAGAAAAGATCTCTATCTTTAGTCAGAAGTGGGCCAGCAAACTGATATCTTGACAGCATGCTGGAGAATGTAGCAAAGAGAGATGCAGGATACTTGAACTTTTCATTCATTCCCTGCTCAGTCCTTAAAATACAGATGACATCCCTTCTCCAAAAATGAACATTTCATTTGCTTAGGTCCAGGATTTTTTTTTAAATGTGCTGTTGTTCTCATAGTTTGAAACCTGGTTGTAGCTCCAAATGTAGTTTTTTTTTTTTTTTCTTCAAAAGCCATCAAGCTAGCAAAGAAAAGATCACCCTTGTTAATTACTGATGGATTATTCCCCAACATCCTATTCAAATTTCCATGAACAGTTAGGAAACTGCAGGAGAAAAATGATATAAGGGTGGAGGAGGGCTTCATACTTTCAGTGTTTTGTTGAGCTCACGCTAAAAAAATAATTTGAATTATCAGTGAATGGCTTCAACTTG